AGAATAGAGAGGGCGGGGCTTCAAGGAAGGGGCGGGGTGGTAGATCTTCACCTGTTCGGAGATTTAAAAAGTGATCTTGGGTGTAAAAAGGTTGGAGACCACTGATGTAGAGTAAAGAGGTGCATTGCACTGGTGGAGCTGGTACACGCAACTCTGGTGCTCGCTGCCAGGTGTTGCTTGTTTTATGAGAAGCCTTCTTTGGCTCCGGTGCTGGGGAGTGCTTAGGTTCCAACTGGTAGAACCTGAGTGTTGTCTCAGTGCTGAGGTGTCCGTTGGCACCGGTCATAGTAGAATGCCTGAGTTTGCTGGTGCTGGCTGAGGAGCAGTACTGGTTACTGCAGAGGAGCTGGACTTCTTCTTCGGCTCAGACGCCACTGTCTTTGTAGGTGCCATTTTGCACTTCAGCATTGTGCCAGAGGTAGACAGTACCAGTGAACAGGTGGCAAGGGAGGTGGATGGTAAAGACCATGTTGGAGACGTCCAGGAGATGTGGGAAACTCTTTAGGGTGATGAATTAGCCCTTTTTCATGGAGTTAATGACTCTGTGGGGTCAGCAGACTGAGACTCCAATGATTGGAGAGATTTCTCCCATTGGAAGTTCTTCAGTCTCATTTCTTGGTCCTTTTTGCCTCTGGCCATCATGTTCTGGCAGGGTGGGCACTTCTGCACCACTTGGCCTTCTCTGAGATGCTTTATGCACGAAGCGTGCCTGTCAGATGAGGGCATTGAGTCTCTGCACAAATCACATTTCTTAAAACCAAGGGAGCCTGGCATTTTGAAAAAAGTACTTGTAGAGTTGAGAAACTTGGAGATAGCAGAGGGGAAAAGAACGGGGAAGTGTTTTTGCTTTTGGCTGGTTTTTTTTTTTTTTTGAAGAACTAATGAACACTAACTATAAACTGACTAAAACTACTAATGAACTATAAACTAACAACTATTTCTATTTTTCCAGGCAGAAAGGAAAGCACTCCTGCGACTCCATCTTCTGCTGAGGATGGCAGAAAAGGAACTGAGGGGGACCCGCACTGCGTGCACAGCTAACGGGCAGAAACAGTGCAAGACGGCAGCTGCGTTTGTGCAATATGGGAAGGCACTATTAGATAAAAATCTCTGATCGCTAGTGCCAGGACACCGCAAAATCTGAGTGGAGTACCCACAGGGACACCACTGGAAGGAGAAATGACCAACAGAGTCAACAACCAATGTTGAGGAGGCCTTGTTGGTACTATTATTATAAAGTTAGCACAGTCTTGCTCAACTTTGGACAAGACCTTGGCAGGGACAGAATTGGAAATATTTGTCGTTCCTTTTTAACCATGACCCACCTAGGAACAAAAAAATATTGTTTTCATCTGGTTACAAACACGTCTACTTGGAAAGTTCCCCACTGTTACTAAAAGACCTTGGAGACATCTGGACAAACAGATCACTTGCTGTGACCTGCAAACAATTTGGTCAGATGGTCTGCCAGAATGTTTTGGATCTCTGGAAGGTAAGCTGCTTTCAAGTTGATGGGTATAAACTGGCCATCAGTAAGTTTAGGCTTAAAATTAGGCAAAGATTTCCAGTCATTAGAGGAGTGAGATTCTCAAATAGCCTTCCAAGGAGAGCAGTGGGGGCAAAAAACCCTAACTGTTTTCAAGACCACGCTTAGTAAGTTTACAGAGCAGATGGTATGCACCCAATCTGTGACTGATAGGAGCAAATATCTCCAGTGGCTGGGGATGGGACACCAGATGGGGAGGGATCTCAGATACAACAGAGAATTCTTTCCCAGATGTCTTGCTAACAGACCTTACCCACATATTCAGGGTCTAACTCACTGACATATTTCAGGTTAGGAAGGAATTTTCCTCTGGGTTAATTTAGTGATGCCCAGGAGCAGTGTAGCATGGGGCTTGGATCACTTGCAATATAAATGGAGAATTCTCTATAACTTGGCACCTGAGAAAATTCTACACCAAAAAAATTAAAATTCTGCACACATTTTAAAATTCTGCAAAATGTCTCAGGTCAGCAGGTTCCAAATATGGAAGGACTTAGTATGGAGGGATCTAGGTGTGGTGTAAGAAAGTTCTGTGTGGGACAATTTGTGTGTGCACAGCTTAGTGAGGAATACGGGAGAGATCTGATTGCATGAGGGATCATTGCATGGTTTCAGGTGCTATAACAATGGGATTCTACAAGGGAAATAAAAGTTTCTGCAGCTCAGCAGAAAGATCAGTGTGGGGTGAGGGGAGTTTCAACAGGGAGAATTTCAGCTGGGGAAATGGACTTTGTGGTTGGGAGTCCAGGTGCAGATGACTGGGAATTCAGATGTGGGGGCTCCTTAGGGTGGTCCAAGTGCAGAGGACTGGTGCTCACTGAGGTCGAGGGTTGAGTGCAGGGGGTAGTCCAGATGCAGGGGGAGGGCTTTGGAAGGAGGTATGGATGCAGAGGATGGTGCTGAAAGGCAGGCTCCAGGTGCAGGAAGCCAAACAGATGACCTGAAATGCCCTGATATTATATGGAGATTTAGATCTTTTGAAGACCAAAGCCCCTGAGGCTCAAGGGGGCTTTATTCTGCTCCCAGAACTAATGCATCTGTGACTAAGATGAGTATCTGTTGAGGAGGAGAAAATGGGACTCCTGTGCAAACATGTGATAGATCTATCTACTGGTCCTGAGAGGAGAAGACTCGAGCAGGTACAAAGGCCATGTTTTCTATATGATTGTATACTGGAGAATACACTGAGGTAACCTAATGTTGTAACTCACTGAAATGCATTCTGGCATATTGGCCCACATAAGAGCATGTCACCATGTACCCTAGTAGTCTGAAACTATACTGAATTGTAGATTGTTAGATCTAGTACAATGAGCTGCATAGCATGCAACCTCTATTGTGACAGGAACACCATGGGCTGCAGAGAGTCCAACAATGAAATCTGTTCTTTGAAATGAAGTCAGGGTAGATTTTTCTATCTTGATTAGAGCCATTGCATGTGAAAGACTGACTGGATAGCACCTACGTTGGAGAGTACTTGATATCTGAATAGGCCTCTCATTAGCCAGTCATCTATGTAAGGGAACACAAGGATTATTTGCATGAATACAGCAACTATTGACTTATATTTTGTGAAAATGCAAGGTGTTGCTGACCAGCCTAAAGACAGAATCAATAGTGAGGAACTGCTTGTATCTTTGAGTAATTGACATATGAAAGTAAGTTTCCCTTAAGTCCAGAGCATCATAACCTGTCTCTGGTCTCTGAGGAGAGGATTGAGTAGGTATCTGGAATTTCATTTTCTTTGGAAACTTATTCAGTTGCCTTGGATATAAAATTGGTCTGAGGCTTCCTCACTCTCTTTGCCTTTGGAATTAGAAAGTGTTGGGAATATAATCCCATTCTTTGGAGAGCCATGAAAATTTCCTCAATGGTCCCCATGAGGAGTATAGACTGGACCAGCTTCAGTAGCACATTCTCATGAAAATGGTCCCAGAAGAGGGATAAAGAATGGGCCTAGAAATAAACTGAATGGTGTATATCAGTTCCACCATGTTTAGGAACCTGACTTGTGGTAATACAGAAAGCAGGATAGGCAATTGGCAAAAATAGAGTATGGAAACGGTGAAAGTGGTAGGCTGTTCTAAGCCAACATGTTTTCTTTGAAAATCTGATTTGCCCAGAACCAGCAGTTCTGGAGGAGGTCGGAGGTGGAGCCATCTACCCATCTTTCTTGACAGGACCGGTCTATGAGATATGAGAGGGAGCAAGCACTGGGACCGCAGCAGAAGATTTTCTCTTCATTGCTGATGTATAAATTCCTAGTGAATCAAGGGTCATCCTTGAATACTTAAGGCTATGAAATCTTTCATCTGTTTTTGGGAGAAAATCTCTTTGAATAGGATATCTTGAAGAGTTTGCTTCACCTCTGCTGCCAAGATCTAGTGACTGTAGGCAGCCAAAATAAACACCACATAGAAATGTCAGAAACCATAGCTCAAACCAATGAGTCTGCCACGTCTGTGCTCACTTGTAAAGCTGGTTTGACAACTAATCTGCTTGTCTGACAACTAAGCTACGAGAGCAATTAATGCTGCTTAGCATCATCCAAAAGTCAGTCTTTAAACTTCAGGACATTATCCCACAGCATAAAATCATATGAACCCAGAAAAACCTGCTGGTTTGCAATTCTCAATTACAAGTCTTTTGTAGAATAAATCTTCCTAACGAAGAGATCCAGCTTCCTTGTTTCTTTGTCTTTCAGGGTTGACACCTGTTGTACCTGTTTGTCCTTTATGTTTGCAACAAACATTAGCAGGGAAACAGGATGTAGATAATTGTAAAAATGCTCATATGCTAGTGTGACAGACTGGGCCAAGTCTGGGCACTGCTGAGGGCATCAGCTCAGGGCAAATTGCTCAAAACCAGGGCTACTTACAGCCCTCGACTGGAGATCTTTCCCAAATAGGCCACAAACCAGTTGCTCAGAGCTACCAATCTGGCCAGCAGGAAGCCTCATGAGCAAAACCCCTCAATAACCGCAGCTATCCCTGTGCTACAATCAGTCCCGGGCCTTACACACAGGTGAGAGATTATAAAACCAGATCTCACCAACACCAAACAGATCCTCCCAGTCCCAAAGAACCAGCCACAATCCCAAGTCAATTTACACTTTAGATCTTACTCACAAGAGCACGCTGAGCCAATCCTAAATCTAAAGGTTTATTAATAAAAGAAAGAAAAGGTTGAGAGTAAGATTGTTAAGGAGAATACATAACATACATCAATCACCAAGTTCTTGATGCAGGTTCTTAGCAGGGATGTTACAAACTGCTATCTTATAAGTCTCTGGTGTATATCCTGTATCAGGATGGGTCAGCAATCCTTCCTGGCTCTCTATCCCTAGCAAGGATGCATCTGGAATCAGGAGCTAGAATGAAGACAAGATGGAGACGCCCTCATGGGATTTTTATATTCCCGGTGTCTCCCAAATTGGAGCTGGTCACATGATCTAATGTCCTGTTTCTGTTTCACATGCAAGTAGCCATGAAGCACTGGCTGGGTTCCAGACTTCCAGATGCATTCCTCAGTTGTGTATTGGCCACTCTGAGAGCCCTTGTCCATGAAGCATTGCTAGTTATCACAGCCATTCACTGAACTCTCATTCGTCACAATAGGCATTCCAGGCCCATTGCTCCCTCCCAGATAGAGAACATATACAGTACAAGAACAGAGCCCATATTCATAACTTCATATACAAACATCATAAAAGTACATGAATGCCATACACAGAGTCAGTAGAGGATAAGCTTTCATTTGACACCTCACATGGCCAACTTTGTACAGAATTGGGGGCAAACACCACCTGTGGGTGCAACAGTGATCTGTCTGCTCCCTTTAAAATCCAATAACATGACAGCTAGGAAGGGACATAATATCTTTTGCAGTGGGAGGAAGAGAGGATAGAATCCTGCCATAAACTATTAATGGGCTTTAGAACAGCTTCATTAATAGGGAGAAATACCCTAGAGGCAGTGGATATATCAGGCCAAGGAAGGCACTACCTTCCCTTGAAGCTGTGGCTGCCCATCCACAGGACAACTGGGCTGTGGTAACCACCCCTTCTCTAAGAACCCACCTCCTCCTCTACCCTCAAAGGTTCCTGCTGCTCACAGTCTCTCCCCTCTTGAGGACAGAGGAGTGAGAGAGATAGAGAGCCAGCACATTGCTGTTAGGGGCCAGCAGCTCAGCAGGGGGAGATGGGATCCAGGGCCTTTCGGACAGGAGAAATTGGTACTCAGGGAGGCTGCTGGTGGCTCAGCCTGGTGCTGAGGATTGCCTGGTGCTTGCAGAGGCAGTTGGTTCAACCAGGCACAGGACAACTGTTCAGGGGCCAGGAGAGTAGTTTGGTCAAGTGCTGGGTGGTGGGCAGCGGAAGCTCAGCCTTCTGCGGCTGAGGTGAGCAGGCTGGGGCTCCTCCAGTCTGGAGGGTCCCTGAGGGCTTTTCCTTTTATGTAGGGACTTTGGGGGCTATGTTTATGCAGGGGCTATGTGGGAGCAGGACCTTGGGCAGAAGGGATAGGGGCTTGCCTCCTCAAAGCAGGGGTTCACCTGCTACCCATGTCCACAGGGACTTGTAAATATCTTGTTAAAATATCTTGTTAAAATATCTTGTTAAAATATCTTCCAATCTGTGTGACTTTTTTGCACCTCCTTCAGACCCATCCACCTTTTTAGCAAGTTTTGATGGGGCCTGAAGTTATCTGACTGGGTGAGGTAGACTCTGCAACTACCACCACATCCAATTGAGGACAACCCTTGTACAACTTGTACACAGGAGGGTCCTGAGTAAGCAGCTTCCCTTGCATTGTACCCATCCCAGTACCAGAAGAGTGGAAGTGGTGACCTTGGTGCACATGTTTCCAGTGCTTATTTGATCTGGGAGGGTGAGAAGGAAGTGGGGATATCTCAGAGTATGGGATGGAAGCCTCAAGCTTTCAAAAAGC